TGGGCCATCCTGGAGGTGTCCAAGGAACACCTGGACCTGGCACTGAGTGCTCTCAGTGCTTGACCAGGTGTGGGTTGGTCAAAGGTTGGGCTCAGTGGTCTTGGAGATCTTTTCCAACATCAGAGATTCCATAAATCTGGGATTCTGTTCACCCCAAACCACCCTGTCCTGGCATTTGATACCACTGCCCCCAACACCACGTTGGGGTGCAAAACCAGACTGAAACAGCACCTGAAGCCTCCGGCTGGGTTTGCTCAGCCAGGTTTTGATGGATGGGGATTCACAAGGGTGGCAGAACCTGTGGACCATGGACAGGAACCTACTCTGGGGCAGGTTTGGTGGCAGAACCTGTGACCCCATGAACAAGAACCCACTCTGGGGCAGGTTTGGTGGCAGAACCTGCAGGCCATGGACAGGAAAACACCCTGGGGCAGGTTTGGTGGCAAAATTTGTGACCCCATGGACAGGAACCCACTCTGGGGCAGGTTTGGTGGCAGAACCTGCAAGCCATGGACAGGAAAACACCCTGGGGCAGGTTTGGTGGCAAAATTTGTGACCCCATGGACAGGAACCCACTCTGGGGCAGGTTTGGTGGCAGAACTTGTGGGCCATGGACGGGAACCCACTCTGGGGCAGGTTTGGTGGCAGAACCTGCGGGCCATGGACAGGAAAACACCCTGGGGCAGGTTTGGTGGCAAAATTTGTGTCCCCATGGACGGGAACCCACTCTGGGGCAGGTTTGGTGGCAGAACTTGTGGGCCATGGATGGGAACCCACTCTGGGGCAGGTTTGGTGGCAGAACCTGTGGACCATGGACAGGAACCCACTCTGGTTTGGTGGCAGCACCTGTGGCTTTGGTGGACACCTGGAGGAGAAATCTTTGCTGGTCCATACGGGGCAGGCAGGTTGGAATGATCACTGAAGGACAGATTTGGGCTAACACAAACCTCTCATCGAGATATCCGGCCCCATTGTGTAATTCCCCTGCAGAATTCCTGCCCTAAACCTAATCCTCAGGGATTAACATCAATAATTATGTTTTCACATAGAGGTCGATCACGTGGAGCTCCTGGTCCAGGTGACCCTGAGGAATTTGGGATTACAAACTGCCTGATCCACGTTGTCCACAAACAGATCCATTGGTCACTTCCCGTGAAAATTCCTTCCAATCTCGTTCATAGGGAGGCAAAGGAATTAATGAGCTATTAATAATTACAATGCTAAAAGCACAGAGCATCAAAGGGAAAATACGGGAAGCTGAACACAGCGGATAGAAATGGGCTGGGATGTGTAATTAGGGATGCCTCATGTCCCAGATAAACCCGTGGAAAAGTATAAAAGGTTTCCAATCCCAGTTTCCTTCACTCGCTGCTCTGCTCCAAAACAGCTCCATCCCTGCTACTGGAAGGGTAAGTCCAAATTTTCTCTTCCCCTGCAGTTTTATTAAGGAAACTTGGAGTTTTTCCATGAGTTTTGGTGGAATTGGAGTGTGGGACACTCCCTCCTCACTTCTGGATCTTGCTGGAGACCAAGTTCTTGTTATCCACAAGAACAAATTATTAAAACCAATTAAAATAAAGGCTTTGAGCAGAGGCTCAAGGCAAACTAAAATAACAGAAAGGGTAGAAAATACAGACAGAGGGTTTTGTGGAAAAGGGGCTTGAAGGTTTCCAAGCAGGAGGAACCAGAGGGTCTGGAGCTGCTTGTGGGAAATTGATGTTTGAACCAATTTGGCTCATGGAAAATTGATGTTTGGACCAATTGTTCCCTGGAAATCAAGTCCCACCCAGAAAGGTTTCTGAAGGTTTAGTGAGGCATTAAAGCACCTCCCAACAACACTGACCCTGCTTTCTCACCCCTGAAGAACCAGAAATTAGGAAGAAAATGGGGAATCCCAGAACAAATATCTATAAGCTCCTGCTGGCTGTGACCGTTCCTCTCTCCCCTCCAGCTCTGCCAAAGCTCCAGGACGATGTGTTCCCGCGGCTCCTGCCACAGCCACGAGACCTCCTGCCATGAGTCCCGCTCCTCCTGCCACGACTCGGGGGCCTCGTGCCACTACACCATCCAGAGGCAGCCTGTGCAGAAGTTCAGCTATGTGACGCCCTGCTGCCCCCCAGTGCAGCCCTGCTACCCCCCAGTGCAGCGTTACTGCCCCCCAGTGCAGCGTTACTGCCCCTCAGTGCAGCCCTGCTGCCCCCCAGTGCAGCGTTACTGCCCCCCAGTCTGCCCCCAGGTCACCAAGAACATCTGCAAGCTGCCATCGTGCTACCCCAAGTACTGAGGGCACCCTGGATGGCTCCTGCTTTGGGTGTTCTCCATGCCTGAAGCTTCAATCAATGGTTCTTTATTCCTATTTTTAATTTGATCCTCGAATTCTTCATCTGTGATTAGAATTGGGTTCCTGGTTTTGCTCTAATTTGGTTTAATTTGCTCGGCATGCAAGACCCAGCTCAGGTTGCTTCCCATGAAGCTGGGAATGATTCCTGCTGCTTTTCACCCCTCTGACAGCCTCCAAAACAATAAAATTTGATTTCCAAAAGTAAAAGAAGTTCATGGTCTGTTTATTCTTTGACCTTTTTTCTTCAGAATAATTGTTACCTCTGACTTCTTTGTCACCACTTTTCTCCTCAAGCTGATCACAAAATGTCCCTAAAATTTCAAAATAATAAAAGCCAGCAATTCCAGAGGCATTCCTGGAGCAGCAGAAGGCTCAGGGAGCTCACCTGCACCATATTTATTCACATATTGATCCACAGAATATGTATTTATACATTTATATCCAGAAGGAATTGGTCACAGGAGGGTAGCACAGGTGATTCCATGGATGCCTGGAAGTTCCCAAGGCCAGGCTGGACAGGGTTTGGTCAAAGGTTGGGCTCAGTTGGTTTGGAGCACCCTGGGACAGTGGGAGGTGTCCCATGGCAGGGGTGGCACTGGAGATCTTTAAGGTCCCTCCCCATCAAGCCCATTCCAGGGTTCCACTGGAGGGAACTGAGTCCCCTCCTCAGCAGCTCCTCACACTTCGTTCGTCCCTCTGACTCAGAGTCACAAACATTTTGAGGTGTCTAATAAATGCAAATAAGCACCTCGTGGCTTTTCCTAGCCCTCCTTCTTTCACTGAGCTCCAAATTACTGTTTTCAGCAACAATTGCAGGCACTTAAAATAAGTATGAAATCTCTCTGGGCTTTTGACAACCTCAGACTTTCCTTATCTCCTAGTCCAGCTGAGCCACCGGTTCCAGAACAGGCTCTGTGGCTGCATCAGCGTCCCCAGGAGCTCAGCAGCCAGACTCAGCTGGAGTTAATAACCCTGGGAGTTGAATGAGATGATCTTTAATGTCCCTTCCAACCCAAGTCACTCCACAATTCCCTGATTATGTGGATTCCTCCTGCCTGACGAAGAATTGACTCAAGGGCCTACCCAAAAATGGAGTTTAATCCACCCAGATGAAGCATTTCTACATCACAGCAGCTTCCAGAAGACTTCAGATTTTCCTCAGCTCTAAAAGATTTTCCTAAAAGCTTTTGGGCTTCTGAACCATGGCCTGAAAAATAAATGCAAAGATTTATAGAATCATGAAACAGTGTTGGGTGGGGAGGGACCCTTAAGAACCTCTGAGTTGTTCCTGTGGCTCTCACCTGGATAAAAGTCCCAGGAAAGGAACAATCACCCATTGTATTGTTCTAAAACCTTGGGCTGCTCTGAGACAAACTTGGGGCCAAAGATCGAAACACGGGAAAGAATAAAAAGTACAAATCTGCTTAAATTAAATGAGACCCCACAGAAACAAGGAATTGACAAGAGTAAAATTCTCACACAAACATTTCCTGCTGAGGATTTGAACCCCTTCCCCCATCCAGGAGGAAAATATTGTGACACAAACATAAAAACAGCTGACGTTTGGCAAACGGAACGGAAAAAATTGGGATTGGGGACGTCGTTCTGGCGTCACCTCCAGAGTCAAGGCGTTGGGTCCCAGGTAGTCACCAGGACCTCCCTCTAATGAAGTCCCTGGGAGTTGTGGCTCTTAATTACAGTCCCTTGTGTCAGGGGAAAAAAAACCTATCAATCAAAAACTGACTTTGCCACGGAGAACCAGGGGCAGCATGTGGGGAAGGAGTCAACCCTCCAGAGTTGATGCAATCCCAGTTGCCCAACTACAAATCACTTAATAACTCCAGGGATAGGTTCATTTTTGCCACGGGAATATGCAACTGCCTCCAAAATTCCCTTCTAAGCAGATTGGGAAATTCCTCACTTATTAAAGTGCTGAGGAAAAAGTCATCGTTGGGTTTTTTTCCTGACTGCGTCAGATCGGAAATGCTAAAAACGAGACACAGGAGATAAATATGAATTTGAGGGTTTGTGTCAGCATTGCCAAGAGGTGTCTAATTCCCAGGACAACCTTTTGGGAGATATAAAAGTTCGGCATCCCCTGTCCATCCTTCACTCATCACCAGCTCCACGAGCTCTTCCTCTTGCTCTCCAGCCAAGGGTGAGTTGGATTTTGTTGACTTATCTACTCTTGAGCAGCAGAAGTTCACAGAGTTCTGTGTTTAGACCTTGCCTTTGTCTTAGGGATTCTTTATTTTTGATGGCTGGGTGTTTGAACAGGCACAAGGAGTGCTTGGTTTGCTCACGGGTGGGATGGCAGAAAAGAAGGAAAAATTGAAGGAGCAGATGTGGGAATCTTTGGGAGCCAGCAAGGAATTCACTCCCAGGTGATGAAGGCAGTGAGAGCTCGGACAATTCAGAGCAGTTTTAGAGGGAAATTCTACTTTGAAAAGCCAACAGGAGCATCTTGGGAGGGAAATTCCCATCAGAGCCACACCATCATGGAGTGTCCTCCAAAAGGAAGGGTCACCATGTTTTGTACACCCCAAAACAGAGGGAAACAACATTTCCCATCCCAGCCCAAAGAAGAGCCAAGGAGGGCTCAGCTGTCCCAGCCTGACCATCTCTCTCTTCCCTCCAGCTCTGCCAGAACTCCAGCACAATGTGCTCCCGCAGTTCCTGCCACGACTACGAGTCCTCCTGCCACGGATCCCGCTCCTCCTGCCTCAGATCCTGGTTCTCCTGCCACAGGTCCCGCTCCTCCTGCCACGAGCCAGAGCCCTCCTGCCGCTACGTCCAGAGGCAGCCAGTGCAGAAATGCACCTACGTGACGCCCTGCTGTCCCCCCGTGCAGCGCTACTGTCCCCCTGCTGTCCCCTGCTGTCCCCCCGTGCAGCGCTACTGCCCCCCTGCCGACCCCTGCTGTCCCCAGGTGCCCTACTGCCACCAGTACACCAAGAACATCTGGAACCTTCCACCGGCGTGCCCCAAGTACTGAACAGGATCCAGCCCCGGCAGCCAGAGCCGCCGGCTCTTCCCTTGGGCACCCCGACCTCGGCTCGCCTCGTCCACGCTGAAACCCCCGGGTCTCTGCCATGTGGGGATGAAATGTTCTCCTAATTAACATTTATGGTGTCATTCTTGCTAATTATTCCAGAAATGTCCTTTTCTAATTATTCAGGGTGTAATTATTTGTTGGGAATCTTTCTCTGTCTTATGCTTCTGATTCAGACTCACCTGGGTGTCGGAAACAATAAATCTGATTCATGAGACCCTCATTGCCTTTGAATTCTTTTATTCTTGTTTTCCTTGATTTTTTTGGTAATTTTTTCAGGGATTTTCAATTCAAATTTATTTTTATTTCCCAAGTATCCCAAAATTTGGTGGCAAACAATTCCCACATTCTTTTGGGAATGGATGGAAGTCAGTAAAGGAAAGGGGGAGACGGTAAAAATTGGACTGAATCTCAGAGGGGTTTTCCCACCTCAGTGATTCCAGGAGATTAAATTGAAGGGGAATAAGAAGGGCACATTGCAACTTCTCAATATGCAATAACTTACTCCAAGATCTATTTCAGACCTGGGATATAAAATTTCAAATATCTGAAAACCCCTGAGACTCTCAAAACAGAAGGCCCAAATTCCTGCGAGAGAACTGTGAGCAAAGGATGATGAGAACTCTTCTGAGATTTTCGTGAGCAGGCCCTGAATTTGAAAGGTTCAGAGATGGTTTTTGGGGTGGTTTTGGAAGGCTCTTGGGGAGGTAGAAAGATTTTGGAGAGCATCAATGTGGGCAAAAGGAGAACTGTCACATGAGTTCCCACTTTGTCACCTGGGTGGCAGCTGAGGGAGCCTCACCTGAGCCACCAAAGGTCCCTGAGAAATTCCTGCCATCCTCCCTTGCTCCACAAAACTCTCCACGAAGAATTGGCTGCCTTTAGCCTGGGGAACAGATGTGGGACACCCCCAGTTTGGGAGATCTTCCCTTCCCAGTCAGTGAGTTGCTCTAATGGGCAACATTTTTGCCAGGTTGAGGAGTTTAATTTTCTTACGCTTCTAACTCTGAGTCAAACAGGGCCATAAATCCAGCTTTAGCGCCCAAATTTCACCAGGAGTGACAAAATTGAGTATTTGCTCGAACTTCAGCTCTTCTTCTCTGAATCCTTAGGTGAGGTCAGGTGAAAAAAATTCGAGGGATCACGGAAGGAGAGAGAAACCACAGAATGGGAAAATTTAATACCCTCAAACCTCATACAGAGCTCAGGGTCGGATGTTTTTCTCTTTAATAACCTGTGATTCACATGGAACAACACAACGGGATCATCCCAGTCATCTGCCAAGTTGAGGGACACGTGAAGAACCAGGAACATTTCATTTCTTGCCAGCCCAGGGAGCCGAGGAGATCCCGCCGGATTTTCCGGCGTTGTGCCATCCCCAGGAATTGCAGGCGCTAATCCCATTTCCTCTTGGCACTCAACAACAGGGGAATTAAAACCCTGAGCTGTCACCTGCACCCAACAGGGGACCCAACCCCAGGAGTCAGCATTTCTGAGACCTTTCTGTGCCTGATGCAATCCGGGGTGTCCCTCATCCCTAATTAACACCCGTCAGTCTCCAGGAAATGGGAGAGAGCTGCTCTTCCAAAATCCCTCCCGTAGGAATCACCAGCAGGACGGGGCCCTGTGCGTCAAGGAGGGAACACCTAAAATCAGGGGAAGTGCAAACATCTGCGGGATTGAGCGCGGAATTAATTAAGGTGTCATCGTGACGAGGTGCCTCACACCTCAAATGACCTCGGGAGAGGATAAAAGGCCCCTCAGCCCTGTCCTCCGCAGTCGCTCACCTTTGCTTCCAGAATCTTCTCGCTGCAGCTGAAGAAGGTAAGATCAGCTTCACCGTTTCTGTTCTTAAAACCTCCACAAGGGGTTTTTATGGGTTTTGTGGGAGTTGGGATTTAGGGAAGTGCCTCCTGTTTGTGCTGAGGGAGGGAGGGGTGGGGAATGGTGGATGGAGGACAAGGATTTCCAGGAATCGTGGGAAAGGTGCAGCCCCCAGAGAGATCCTTGGGTGACACAAACTCTGCTGGAGCTGGGGCTTGGCATGTGCTCCTGGGGGTCCAATTGCCTCACAGGGACCTCATTTCACACCCCAATTCCCAGAGCATTCCCAGCAGACCCAGCAGGATCGAGGGGGTGTTGGGTCTGGATTTGGCAGGTGAAAAAAGGAGAGAAACAGTTCATGGGAGACATAAGAAAAAATATTATTAAAAAGAAAATGGGGGGGATATAAGAAAAGAATCAGAGCCTCCTCTCACCACATTGATCCCTTGCTCCAAACAGCTTTGCCACAACTCCATCACGATGTGCTCCCGCGGGTCTTGCCACGACTACGAGTCCTCCTGCCATGGATCCCGCTCCTCCTGCCATGAGTCCCGCTCTTCCTCCTGCCACTCGGGGCCCTCCTGTCACTACACCATCCAGAGGCAGCCTGTGCAGAAGTTCAGCTACGTGACGCCCTGCTGCCCCCCAGTGCAGCCCTGCTACCCCCCTGTGCAGCGTTACTGCCCCCCAGTGCAGCGTTACTGCCCCCCAGTGCAGCCCTGCTGCCCCCCAGTGCAGCGTTACTGCCCCCCAGTCTGCCCCCAGGTCACCAAGAACATCTGCAAGCTGCCATCATCCTACCCCAAGTACTGAGGGCAGGATCCAACGTCGGGATGCACCAGCTCACTCCTCACCCACAGCTTCCAGCTTGTCCCAGTGCTCGTGGCTCTGCAGCTTTGCCACTTCTCTGCAAGAAAAACCTTCTAAAACTGCCACAGATTATGCAGTTTTAGGACGAAACCTCTCGGTTTGAGGAGCTCTGAGATGTTTATCTTTCCTCTGCCAAAGCTGGGAATGGTTCCCTTCTTGCTTTGCTGCTTCGTCCTCCAGCAACACAATAAAAAACGGTGTTTCAAGCCAAATTAACAGTCCTGCATGTTTTCAGTCACTGCTCCATTAAATGTGCTGGATTAGTGGGCAAGAAGGGCATTGAGGGTTTGGAGTATGAAGGAGAAGGGAACAGAACTGGGGAAGGGGCTGGGGGAACTGGGTGGGCTCAGCTGGGAGAAAAGGAGGCTCAGGTGGGACATCAGCAGGAATTTCCTCCTGGAAAGGGTGGTCAGGCCTTGGAAAGGGCTGCCCAGGGAGGTTTGGAGCTGCCATCCCTGGAGGTGTCCAAGGAAGGCCTGGAGGTGGCACTCAGTGCCCTGGGCTGGGTGACAAGATGGGGATCATGCACAGGTTGGATTTGGTGGTCTTGGGACCTGTTTTGTCTGGGATTCTCTGATGGTCTGGTGGCATCTCTGTTTTCCTGTGGGTTTGGAATTATGATTTAATCCCTGGAGCTGGAGGAATGCCAAGGAAACGTGAAATCCATAGAAAACGCCTGCAGGGGTGGGAGGAGCACGTGGGGTGAATTCCTGGGGGAAACAAATCCTTGCCCTGGGCTCAGCAGATGTTGGGGGTTCAGGTTTCCACCTGACCTGTGTGTTCATGTTTCTGCCTTCAGAGCTGCTGCTATTTTTGGAACCGAAATAAAATCAAATCCTGCAGGGTTTGGAACATGGAACAGCCCTAATTAACCAGTTTCTGCAGTGTAAAATAAGTGAAGGTTTCCCCAGCGTGATTCATCCCTCATCACCCATCCCTGGCGTGGGAAACAGCCTGGAATGAGCTGGGTGCTGCAATAGCCACTAAATGACCACTTGGTCAATAAGCAATTGGAATTAGTTATTTATAGGTTCTGGAGAAAATGCTCATTAGAGAGGAATGGGTTAAAAAAGGAAAGTTGAGGTTGGGACAGGGAGCAATGGATGAATCACCTGCCTGGGGGTTCCTGGCCTTGCCAAGAGGTGTCTCAGCCTCACAGGAGCCTAAAAAAGGCAATTTTCTTACTCATTCCTGCCCTCCCTGCAGGTGGGAATTGAGTTTGTGAGGTTTCACCACAGCTGTGGTTTGGTCTTCAAGGAGAGACTTTCACTTCCCTGTGCTGCCCCAGCTTCCAATTTCCTCCTCCATCGCTGACCATGGCATGTTTTATTTCCTTTTCCAAATCCAGAAAAGGCCATAAAGTTGATAAGGAGCCTTTTCCCCATGGATCCAGCCTGGGAATGTTGAGCTTGTGGAGATCTCAGAGCCCCTCCCAGGATCTGCAGGGGCTCCAGGGAAGATGGAGAGGGACATTTTCTCAGGAACTGCAAGGACAGGACACAGGGAATTATTTCAGAGTGATGGGGAGGAGTTTTAGGTGGGATAAAATGAAGAAATTGTTCCCTGTGAGGGTGGGAAAGCCTCGAAGAACCATAAATGTTTGGCAAGAGAAATCCTCTTCTCCAGGTGGCCTGAAGGGACATTTCTGCTCTGCCAAGGACACGTCAAATAACTTCAGGCTTATTAATTTCTGTTCTTTACACTTTGGTGTAAACAAATTTAAAAATTTAAACAAATTAAAAAATTAAATTCAAATAACCACACCATGGATTCCACAACCTGGACAAACTGTGAGGAAACCCCCAGGGATTAATGGGGAGGAATTTGCCTCAGGATTGCTTTCCTGGATCTCCAATCCAAACAAGCAGATCTCTGCTCCTCTGGGCATCTTTCAGAGCCTTTCACTCAAAGCAAAATATGATTGCGACATTTTTATGGCCTTAATTTGAATGTTTTCCTCTGTAAAATCGCTGTTCGATCTACGAATGCACCTTGCAGAGCTTTAAACTCCTCTGCTGTTCACATCCAACTGCAACAATGGGATTTTTTTGGCTCACTGGATGAACCCATGCACCAAACCCGTACAAAGTCAACATAAAACGGCCTCGTTTTGGCCAAACTCTCTTCCATCGCCTTCCTGCTCGGGATGTCCCACATTTCTGATGCTGGAATTTCTCTGGAGGCTCTGGAATCTCCTGCAGATCACGCGGGGGCTCAGCCGGCGCAAATGTCAATCACTAATTAGGAGATAATGGGCGGCACCCGGCTCAAGGTCATTAACGCAGCTGAAGCCAATAGGAAATTAAGCTCCGAGGGAACTGGAACGTTGACCTTGGGATGGCCTTGCCCGGAGAAGTGGTGACTTCATGGTCCTGTGAATTCCTAGAAGGAGGAGTAGCTCGGTCCCGGTTCCGTGAATTCCTAGAAGGAGGAGCAGCTCCTCCAATTGTGACGTGGCCAAACATCAAGAGCGGAACTGAGGGGAAACAGAGGGTTTGTGACACTAGGAGCCAAATGGAAGGTTCTGGTGGCCCAAAGTGTCCTCAAGGTCCAGAATTGGATGAGCAAATGCAGCTCACTAGACTGAAGGGTCTTCAGGGATGCAGGGCATCCTTCGGTGCTCAGCCCCCTTTTCCAGCCCTGGAGGTGACCTCAGACACCAAACATTTCCCTTGACGGGAGAGAGATCATTTTTTAATAAAGTCGTGGTTTAATTTGAGATCCTCGAGATGCTCAGGACACATCACATGGAGCTTTTATGCAAAATAGGTATTAACATCTATCATTAATGGCTGATCACAACGTGATCATTAGCATCAGCGCTAATCGCTGCCAGTGGGTGACTGCGAGCTGAGCACGGAGTTTTTCCAGAATTAGCATCCGTGGGTGGCTCTTCCATTACTCCAGGGCATCTTGGAATCTGAAAGGAATTGAATAGGAATTTTGCAGATCAAGTCATGCAGAGCATAAACAGGATGCAAAAACTTCCAGAGCCTTTTTGCATTTTGCTTTTATTTAAATGCGCCGGAGGAATTGGGAAAATGCAATCTCCGATTTGAACCAAAACCAATTCCGAATTTCTACTATGAATTTGCAGTGAAAATGTTTGATATTGGCAAGGCCTTGAGCCTGACAGATCTCAAGGAGAGTTTGGACAATGACCTCAGGCACAGGGTGGGGTTTTGGGGCTGTGCAGGGCCAGAGGTTGGTCTGGATGGTCCCTGTGGGTCCCTTCAAGACTGGGATATTCCATGATTCCATTCCCGGATGTTTTCCCATGCACGGATGGGATAAAGCAGCAAGGGATGGGACTTTGAGAACTTTCTGGGTTTGCCCTTCTGGTAACCCCAGAGAAGGACTTTGGGCTCCACCATTTCTGCATTGAGACGCAAAGCACGGGACCAAGGAGTTGCATTTCCTGGAATTCTGTTTTAAAAATCATATCAAGGAGCAACTGACGTCCAGAAGCTTCTGCACGCCTCTGGAATCCACTGCACCTCAATCTTAATTAGGATTTTTATGTCAATTAATCATCTCCACTCAGCAGCCTTACCATATGCAAAGCGGGCAGAAACAACGCCTCCGAGCGTCCCACAAGAATTAACTCGACATTAAAAAATTGTAAAAAATTCACACAACAAATTGATAATAACCCAAAATTGAGGGGTTGGTCAAAAGCCACGAGGCAAAGACTAAACACATGAAGGCCCATTGGGTGAATAAGTACAGGCTTAGTGCGTAAATCACGGATTGCTGGGGGGTACCTCATGTCCGGCAGGACAACTCCGACCTCAATAAAAAGGTCTCCAGGTGCCTCTGCTCCTCACACAGCTTCAGCTCTCAGCAAGAACAAGAACGGTGAGTACTTCCTACCAAAGATCCTCTGTTCTCTTGGTTCTTTGGCTTTGGGCAAGAGGTGGATTGAGGCTGGGTTGTTGTGTGTGATCTCTGCAGGGTGTTGGGCTGGATGGACCTTCAGAGGTGTCTTCTGACCCAAAATGTTCTTTGGCTTTGTGGTTCCATGGGTTTGTGGTTCCACAGGTTTTTGTTCCATGGGTTTATGGTTCCATGGCTTTGTGACTCCATGGATTTATGGTTCCATGGGTTTAAGGTTCCATGGGTTTGTGATTCCATGGGTTTATGGTTCCATGGGTTTATGGTTCCATGGGTTTATGGTTCCATGGCTTTGTGGTTCCATGGGTTTTACAATTCCATGGTTTTAGCATTACAGGATTTCATGAGCTACAGCTCTCCCTGAAATCCAGATTTTTCTGAGACTGTTGATCTGTTGGCTCTTGGAAAAGATGGACAGAGCACACTGGAAAATGAGCTGCTCGGGGTGGAAATTCAGGAAAGAGCACAGAACGGGCAGCTCCCAGGAGAATTCAAATATCTCTTGGACAGAGCAAGAGCTGGTTCAATTCCTGCTAGGATCTTGGGTTTCTGACTCAAGACAAAGAAAGAGGAAAAGGGGTGGGATGACGGCCTGGGCAAGGTTGAAACTCAAAGCCCTTTGTGTTGCAGGTCCTCACTCCGGCCACCCTTCACTCCTCACCCAACACCATGTGCTCCACTGGATGCTGTTCCACCGGATGCTGCTCTGTCGTGAAGAGCAAGACCGTGTGCTGCACCCCCTGCAAGACTGTGTGCTGCAGCCCATGCAAGACTGTGTGCTGCAGCCCATGCAAGACTGTGTGCTGCAGCCCGTGCAAGACCGTGTGCTGCAGTCCCTGCAAGACCGTGTGCTGCTCCCCGTGCCAGAAGCCCTGCTGTGACCCGTGCCAGTCCTGCTGTGATCCGTGCCAGTCTTGCTGTGACCCGTGCCAGAAGCCTTGCTGTGATCCGTGCCAGTCCTGCTGTGACCCTTGCCAGTCCTGCTGTGATCCGTGCCAGAAGCCCTGCTGTGATCCATGCCAGTCTTGCTGTGATCCATGCCAGAAGCCCTGCTGTGACCCGTGCCAGTCTTGCTGTGATCCATGCCAGAAGCCTTGCTGTGACCCGTGCCAGTCCTGCTGTGACCCATGCCAGAAGCCCTGCTGTGAGCCATGCAAGACTGTCTGCTGTGACCCGTGCCAGTCCTGTTGTGATCCGTGCCAGAAGCCCTGCTGTGATCCATGCCAGTCCTGCTGTGACCCGTGCCAGAAGCCTTGCTGTGATCCGTGCCAGACCTGCTGTGACCCATGCCAGAAGCCCTGCTGTGACCCATGCCAGAAGCCCTGCTGTGAGCCATGCAAGACTGTCTGCTGTGACCCGTGCCAGACCTGCTGTGACCCATGCCAGAAGCCCTGCTGTGACCCGTGCCAGTCTTGCTGTGACCCATGCCAGAAGCCCTGCTGTGACCCGTGCCAGTCCTGCTGTGATCCATGCCAGAAGCCTTGCTGTGACCCGTGCCAGTCCTGCTGTGATCCATGCCAGAAGCCCTGCTGTGACCCGTGCCAGTCCTGCTGTGATCCGTGCCAGAAGCCTTGCTGTGACCCGTGCCAGTCCTGCTGTGACCCTTGCCAGAAGCCTTGCTGTGACCCGTGCCAGTCTTGCTGTGACCCATGCCAGAAGCCTTGCTGTGACCCGTGCCAGTCCTGCTGTGACCCATGCCAGTCCTGTTGTGACCCTTGCCAGAAGCCTTGCTGTGACCCATGCCAGTCCTGCTGTGACCCTTGCCAGTCCTGCTGTGACCCGTGTCAGTCTGTGTGCTGCACCAAGGTGTGCCACAAGTCCGTGTGCTGTGTCCCACGGCCCTGTTGCTCTCCTTGCTGCGTGGTGAAGAAGCCCGTGGTGGTTTGCTGCACCCCCGTGAGGAAGTACTGCACCCCCTGCATCCCCATCCAGCAGTGCTGTGCCAGCCTCAGGAAGACCTGCTAAACTGCCCCAGATGGCTCTGAAAATGGGCACAAGGAGGTGAAAAGCTCCTCATTTGCCCCTGGTTCTCATGGTGATGGAGACCATTCATAGCAATTTTCTTCTTCTTTCCAAGCTTAAGCTGCTGCTTCTTTCTGTCCTTTAGTTATCGACTGCCTTTAATTATCGACTGTCTTTAATTATTGACTGTCTTGAGTAGGCCTGAATTTACCACCCATTGTATAAGGCATTAGATATTAGTGGGGTGTTAGTTCTCCTCTTGGTGTTTGGGAAACCTTTGGTGTCACTGTGACTGCTTCTCATTTCCTCTCTTGACTTGTAGACAATAAAACTTGGCATTCAGCAAAACACAACATTTGGTCTTTTGGTTGTTCTTACATGGCTTTGCCCTTTATTTGTCACCTTGCCCATGATTTGTCACTTTACCCAGAATTTTCCACCTTGCCCAGAATTTTCCACTTTGCTCAGGACTTGTCACCTTGCCCAAAATTTTCCACTTTGCTCAGGACTTGTCACCTTGCCCAAAATTTGCCACCTTGCCCAGAATATTCCATTTTGCCCAGAATTTGCCACCTTGCCCAGAATTTTCCATCTTGCCCAGGTTTTGTCACTTTGCCCAGGATTTTGTCCTCATTCTGGCACCATCTGTGCCTTTGGCCAAGGTCCACACACATTTGGGACACAAAGAGCTGTCCAGGTTCTTGGCACACATTAAGTTGTGTCTGAGGCAAGCAGAGCATTCCTGATCCACTGGAATGGGTGCCCAGAGGAGCTGTGGGTGCCCCTGGATCCCTGGAATTGTCCAAGGCCAGGTTGGAGGGTTTGGAGCAGCCTGGGACAGTGGGAGGTGTCTCATGGCAAGGGGAGGAACGTGGTGAGCTTTAAAGTTCTTTCCAACCCAAACCATTCCTTGATTCCTTCTTGCCCATACTGACCATCCACCTCAGCTCAGATTTTACGACAGAACGGAAAGCTGAAGTAATTAAAACTCAAAGGGTGGGGACTGAGCGAGGAGGCGTAACTGCACCATCAGAAAACACAGCACTCCATAAATCAGAGACTCCTCCAACATCCTGGAAAGCATCCACCAGGATCATGGAGCCCAACTCCTGCCCCTCCAAAAACACCCCAAAATCCCACCCTGTCCCTGAGAGTGTTATCCAAACATTCCTGAAGCTCTGGCACCCTTGGGGCAAAGACCATTCCTTGGGGAGCCTGGCGAGTGCCCCACCACCCTCTGGGGGAAGAACTTCCCAGAAATATCCAACCTAGACCTTCCCTGGCGCAGCTCCAGCCATTCTCTCAGGTCCTGGTCCCGGTCCCAGAGCAGAGATGGGAGCTGCCCCTCGGGAGGAAGTTGTGGACAGCTCTGAGATGCACAGGAGCTCGCCCCTGACATTGGAAGGGACATTCCAACAGGAATACCAGGAGGAATTCACTACTCACTGGACATCAGGCAGCATCTTCTTCCCACCACCATCTTCCAAAAAGAAAAGCTTAGAAACCCCCAGAAATCGTTGAATTTTTACAGGAGCAGAGCGTTTCCTCTGCGCGTTCCAAGCCAGGAATGAAACCTGGGGTTGGCATCCAATCTAAAAGCCTCATTCCTAAAATAGCAAACCCATGAGTCAACGATACCTTCCCTCCCTGGCTGGGACTTTCTTTGCTATTAAAATTCAGGACTCAACTGGGAATTGCAGGTTTGGAGAAAATGCCTGGAGCTCTGGCTTGATTTGCTTCCTCCAACCTTCACAAGCGACATCTGCATTCAAATCATCTTCTCTACGTGTTTGACTCTCTGAAAACTTTCTTGGGTCTTCAGGAGGGTTTTTATTTATTGTAAATCATCCAGGAGGATATCCCAGATCAGAACATTCAATAAAGAACTTTCTCTTTAAGGAATCTTGTGAATATTCATAATATTCATTCCATCTTTGAATCACAGAATCATGGGATGGGTTGGGTTGGAAGGGATGTCAAAAACCACCTCATTCCAACACCCCTGCCATGGACAGGGACACTTGCAGTTAGACCAGAGCTCCATCCAACATGGTCTTACGCCACACTGGAAAAGCTGCAGGAACAGATTCCCAAAAATCTCCCAAAAATCTCCCAAAAATCTCAAACTCACAGAACCACCATGAAAGTTTCCAAAAACATCACAGGATGGGGCGTGGCCTATCAAAGGAACTTTGTGTGGATGTTATTTCTGACCCAAACACAGGTTAAATGGTGTTGAACAGCAGGGAAAATGCTCTAAATGCTGACAGTGGTGGGGTGGCTCAGCCTGGAGAAGAGACAGGTTTAGATGGGATATTGGGAAGAAATCCTTCCCTGTGAGGGTGGCAATGCCCTGGCACAGGATATTCCATGGGTGTCCCATTCCTGGATGTGTCCAAGGCCAGGCTGGACAGGGCTTGAAGCAACCTGGGATAGTGGAAATTGTCCCTGCCCATCCAGGAGGGTTGGACTGGATGATTTTGGGGTTTCTTCCAACCCAAATCATTCGGTATTTCTATGACTACAATACCAGAATCATCTTGGCCAAGAGGACAGCAATAAACCCTGATAAAAACGCGATGAATGCTTGATTCAAGGGAAATGTTTGAGGGTTTACACAAGGAGGACCTTGCTTCCTGCAGGCAACTCTTGGTTGTTATTGAGCGACCAAAACAATGTCCTCCCCTGGGGACAATTCCAGAGGGGACACCCAACGTCACAAGAGGTCGTGCTCACATCCTGGAAAGGCAGATCCTGTCCCAGTCACCAGGGATCACCTGCCACCACGTCAGCCTCACAGTCAGAGCCTCCTGGATCTGATGGCAGCCTCTTTTTGCCATGAATTGGTGCTGCCTCAGCATCCTGGAATTCCCATCTTCTACCGGAGGCCCCTCTCATCACATGGAGACACCATCAACATCTTCTAATGTAGAGCTGTCTCTGCTCTGCATGTGGCCACAGTTCCTCATGTGAACACTCAAACGTGATCACCATAAGTCTCCTCAGTCCCAGAAACTTTTGGGATAATCTCAGAAAATGGGATGTGTGGAAACAACACAGGGAAAAACCCTCCCATATGCACTGTTGCTTTGAAAGCCGCTTCATTTAGACTCAACTCATCCATTCCATGGATGAAAACAAAAAAAAATCTTAATAATAAAACAAAAATTACAAAACCGGGATTGTGAGGACCTAGCACCCTGAAGGGAGGCCCAAAAGCAAGACTGAGAAAGGGGAAATTTCAGCCTAAATTTTGACCACAGAGGCAGGAAATAAAAGGATTCCCATTGACCAAAAATTTCCACTGACCCCCAGAGATTCTGGCCAAGGGCAGAGGGGACACATGAGCAATGACAACTCCAAGTTCCAGGCATGGTTGTCCCACTGCTTCAGCAGCTGGCTCCCCCCAGGCACATTGTTAAGCATCCCTGTGTCCCAAGGTCATTCCTTGGGAAGGGATGGGAACACCTCAGAGCTCCCTCCGGCGCCATTAACGCAAATCCATTAGAAAATTTGCATCTGTTGTTTCCTCTGGAGGAGTAATTATGGGGCACAACTGAGGTGGTGAGCAAACAGAAAGAGGCAGAGATTAAACACCGGAGGAGGAAGACACGTGAGGGGGTACCCCGGGTGATCCACGGGGTCGGAATTGCCAAGGGATGCCTCATTTCCAGGGGAGGAGGCTTTGGAGCGTATAAAAGGCTCCCCCCAGCCCAGGGGTCTTCATTCGATCATCTCCACTTCTCCTCTCCTCTCTCCACTGCTCAGCAGGGTAAGCTGGACTTTGCTACTTGTCTTAACTTTGGGACTCTCTGTTTCCCTGGGCTTCTCCAGGGTTTTCTGGGCTGTCTGGTTTGGGACTGGACGCTGCAGAAGATTTTGGGGTCACAGATGGGTTTTGGGGAGCAGAGATTGGTTTTGGGCTGCCTTTTGGATTGGTTTTGGATTGTCTCTGGCAGTACTAGTGCTGGACAAAACGCCAGAAGCACATGAGTCTGTCCTGGGATTCAGGACACCAGGCACCTCCCTGGCCAGTTTGGGATGGATATGGGGATAAGAAAGCTTTAAGCTGCCTCAACCTCTGAGAGATTCAAGCAGAGAAAAAGACAAACTCTCTCTTTCCCTTCCAGCTTCGCCTCCACTCCCATCACCAAGATGCCCAACGGATGCTGCGGTGGCGGAAGTAGCTACACCATGTGCTGCTACAGCAGCCCCAAGACCTGCAAGAGGCCCATGTGCTGCAGCCCCATGCAGTGCTGCAGCCCCTGCTGCACCCCCTGCTGCATGCCCATGCAGTCCTGCTGCATGTCCATGCCCTGCTGCTACACCATCAGCAGCAACAACAGCGGCTGCTGCGGCGGCAGCAGCAGCGGCGGCTGCTGCGGCGGCAACTAAACCCGCGTGGCTCATTCCCTCTTGGATACGGATTTGGATATGGATAACACCCCAAATGCTCTTCCTCCTGTGCTTAGAAGCTGTAGAACTCTTCTTCTTCTCCTGCCTTCCTTCACCTCATTCTTGTGATGTGCCCTGAAGCCGCCGCCCGGCGAGTTCCTCCCGCCAGCGCTGGCGCTGCTCTTCGTTCTCCTCTCGGTGTGTGGGATGTTTCACTCTTTTCATCACTGTTTTGTTTCAATCTTTCTGGAAAAAAAAGCCAATAAAATCTGTAGTTTGTGACCCTGCAACCTCCTGGTGTTGAGCTGTTTGTTCGCTGGTGGATCCAGGGGGTTTGGCAGCCCCTTTCACCTATTCGCGGTGTTTTTTCACAGTGTTGGGATTCTCCTGTCTCCAAGGTGTTCACTCAAATGAAATCAGGGTATTCCTGATGGTAAATTATTCAACCTGGAGTTTCTGGTACCTCTGGGAATGATATTTGCTCTTTCTGTATAAAATAGCAGAGAAATAGGAAGAGAATAAGAGAAAAAATTGTTGTGTGGAGACCTCACAGCACTTTCCAGGATGTGGAGCAGCTCCAGGGAAGCTGGAGAGGGACTTTTCATCAA